CCGGTTTTAAGGGGGGAGAAAACCTTTTAACCCGACCCCCCCCCCCCCCCCCCCCGCCCTCTGTATAGCCTAGTTAAACCGTAGCCCCCACTGCTTGATGTACCACCTGTCTGTCCCCCACGTACGTACAAGGAGAGAGGGAGGAGGTAGTAGGTGTACATGACTGAGCTGTGGGGGGAACGTAGAAGGGGAGGTTACAGGGAGATGGTTGAGGCATGCATGGAGTAACCGGGAGAAGGCGGGGCTGTACGGGGCATAATACGCATAGATAGATAGGAAGTGGGTTGAAAAGACGGGAAGTGATATCGATCGGATAGTAGATAGATAGATAATAGATAATAATAGGTAGTAGGTCGACATTTATTTATTTATTTTTGAGCCACGTCTGTCTTCTAGGGCAAAGTAGGAAGGAAAACGATTGCCAATTGGCCATCGATGATCGGTCCTGTGGGGAAAATGCTCCGTCCTCTCTCGAGGACGCGTGATCAATGGTCTAACCGCTAAGTAAGTAAGTAAGTAAAGGCGTGCAAAACATGAGAAACGCCCCCGTCCCCCCCCCCCACTCTGTTGTTGTTACAAACCACCCATCCATGCCAGAATACACTGACTGCTGCTGCTGTACACCTTGGAGACCACGGAATTACATCGTGTACTTGCTACTCTGCTGCATGTTTGCTACTACTGCTGCTGTGTTGTTGTTGTGCTTCGTACACAACAATAAGGAGGAATCACGCTGGGTACGGGCATATACCTTATATGACACAAGATAACACACCCCCTTGGCCGATTTTCAAAGCTCAATTTCTCAACAGCAGGAAGAGTCACAGCGCTGAAAACGGCGGCGTTGGAACCGTCTCGTCGAGAGCTGTTCGAAAACGTATTGTTTCGTTTATGCATCCTCTTCGTCGTGGAGTAATCGAGCTTTGAAAATCGGTCCAGGGGGTGTGTTATCTTGTGTCATATACGGTATATAACGAACGAAAAGATTGTGCAATACAAATAAATATAAAATAATTTCGATCAGGCTAGACCCTGTTGTATAGCCATAAAAAAATCGGTTTAAGATAGGTTTTCTCTTAATAAACCGAAATCCGTGTTTTTAAGAGAAAACCTGTTTTTTAAGAGAAAACCTCTCTTAAATCGGTCGTGTTTAAGAGAGGTCTCCTTGGTCATGCACACCCCTCTCGTAAACCGTAGCCCCCACTACTGTATAATAGCATGTATGTAAACGTGTGGTTCACAATAGAGAGAGCAACCAACGGGCCGAACTTCCATATTGCAACTGTTCGGAGGTCACCTGGTTGGTCCGTGGGTCCGTGGATAGTTCTGGGCGCGATTTCCGTTCCTATACTGACGCTCATACACCACTTTTTTTTTGTTTTTTACACCTGCACGTCTTTTTGCTTCTTCGAAAAAAAAAAGAATAGATGACCACGAAGTTGCTCTCCTTGCACGAGGGCAAACCATATTAAGAAAAACAAAAAAAAAAAACCTTCACCGCGCTGCGCGCGGACTTCAACACGCCTCCTAGAGTACCACCATCTCCTGTGGGAGTTCTTCTTCTCTCTGGGCTGCAGCACTATACAGCACAAGCAGCCTCGTTGCAGCAGGCTGTAGTGTGGTCGTTGCTGGTTGTGATATGTTTTGAGGAAAAATAAATACACACACAAAAAGACTACCCATGTTTAATAAAAACACACACAGAAAGACTACCCATTCGAGATATACCAAAAAAAAAAACTGAAACCGTCTAAAGATCCGCCAACTGGCGGGACCACCACACCTTTGGTAACGACATCGCTCCTTGTTTTTTTTTGCTCTGTCTGGGGGCACACGGACTTCGTGTTCTCTCTCTCTCTCGTTCTTGCCTCAGAGCACGCCAGTCAGACGAGAGAGATGACCACGAACAGCAGGCGGATGAGGGTGGCCATGTCCAGCAGCGACAGCCACGGGGAGCCTCCCCCATCGCCCCCGCCGCTGCTGCAGTACGGTGGCAGTGGCAGTGGCAATGGTGGTGATGGTGGTGCGGTGGCCGCGGTGGCGGCGGCGACGACGGCGGCGGGAGGGAGGAGAAGTAGTGCTGGTCAGGGGTACGGGCGCTCGAGTGATTTACTAGAAGCAGGGCGCCGGAGCGACGGTGTGGCAGCTGCGCCTCCACCGCCGGCAGCGGTGGCGGTGCCGCCGCCACCTTCTTCTGGGAAGAGCAAGGACGCGCGGCCCGGCGGGATATCGACGGCCGGACCAGTGGTGGTGGAGCCGAGTCCGATGGCATCTCCATCTCCCAACCAGAGGTACCTTGATTATTCTCTAAAACCAAGTGAAAAAGGTCGTGCTTAAAGTGTTTTCTTTTTTACAGGAGCGCGCAGTTGCCCAGTGCCTTCTCACGCACAAAATCTACCCTCCCGCAAGAGGTTGCTTCTTGTTGTTTTTCTCCACAAGAAATGTTCTCCTTGCGCAGCGCCTCTGCAACAGCCAGCAAGCGGCGGCCAGGAATCTCTCTGCTGCCAGCCAGACGCACTTCATGTGACAGAACACGCACGCGCTCAGTGGGCTATTTTTGCCTCACAGCAGTTGGGCTGCTCGAGAGCAAGCATGGGTTTTGTTCTTGTGTGTGTCAAAAGTTTTTTCGGCACGTGTAGCAAGCCGGCGGCGACGGACGTCCAAAGTTTCGTAAACGAACGGAGTTGCTATGCTTCTTGTGGTCTACACCCGCCGCATTAAATCATCGCGCTCGTTAGCGGCAACAACAACAACAGCACGAGCAGTGCCGGTTTGCCGCTGCTTGCATAGATGCATCCCGCCCCCCCCCTCCCTTTATACACTAGAGAGAGGGACCGCACGACAAAAAAAAGTCCGAAGCTCTGCCGCACGCATTGAGGAACAACAGCAGCAGCAAACACACAGTTTTATCTGTGAGCGGGCTTACGCGAAGAAAGTCTCGTCTCTACCCCCCCATTGTTGTTGATGATGACGAAAAACAATTCGAGTCAACCACAACAACTGCTGTGCAGATGGAAAAAACTCATCCGATAATAAAGACGTTGTTGTTTGGAGCAACCATTGTTTATCCTTTGCGCCCGTAGCGCAAAGTGTGTGTGTGGGAGATATTCGAGGACTGCTGCTGCTGCTGCTGCTGCTGCTGCTGCCTCTCTGAGCTCTACAGCATGAAGATAGAATATACGATGTGTAGGCATCCGAGCGGGCGGCATGCGGAGTGGCGTGTGCGAGAGCGGAGTTTTTGTTTGTGCCTGCACAAGTGAGCTTTTCCGCCCTGGTGTGGGCGACCAAAGGTTCTGCGGATGCACAGCCGTAGTACCACACCCCCTGGACCGATTTTCAAAGCTCGATTGCTCCACGACGAAGAGGATGCACAAATGAACGCATACATTTTCGGAAAGCTCTCGACAAGGCGGCGTCAACGACACCATTTTCGGCGCTGTGACTCTCTCTGCTGTGGAGAAATCGAGCTTTGAAAATCGGTCCAGGGGGTGTGTAATCTATTGCACACGACGTGTTTGTGGTTGATGACCACACTTTCTTCTCCCGCCTTCGATATTGTTGTGCATGACGCTCAAAATGATATTTGTTTTTTTTTCCTGCCTTGGGCAGCGCTGCGCTCCTGCTGCGGTTGAGTGCGCGCGTTAGAGGGGAAGGGAGGCGAAAGGACCGTTACAACGGACTCTCTGATACAACCAACACCCGCCAGAAATTAAACATGCACAATTGAAATCAATTGCGCCAACAGATTTTTTAGATGCAATGCACACAACCTTGCTGCATCGATGCTTCCTCTCGGTGGATAGTAGCAGGTGGCCAAAACACTGCTGCTGCAAAACACCCTGCTGCCGCATGTCAAGCTATCTTGGTATCTTGGCAAACGAATAGTTTTGTGTTGCACCGCTTATGGCGCTTCACGTCAAGAGTCGATTTATCGATTTGGGATATGGGAACAGAAGGCGTTTGCAGTTTGCAACAAGAACTTGGAACGCTCTCCGTCTGGGGTGCGACGTTTTTTCTTTTTTCTCGGCTGATGGTTGCAGCAGTCCTGCTTGCGAGGGAGTGCACTGCTTCTTTTTTGTCACCCAGAAAAGACCCCGGGGATTGATTGCCCCACTCCAAGCAGCAGCGTGCACTCTTTTGCCTTTGCCCTCTCCCGCGCTTCCGATATCTACACTGCTGTATATCGGAACACTGATGGTTGAATATTTGCGTGTACTGCTGTATGCATCCACGGACTGCGTCTTTGCTAGATTTTGGGATTAGCAACTGACACGAGTTTAATGTGAAGACAACAACAACATTCATCTGGGACCATCACCGCAGTAGCATGCCATCCATCATGAGCGCGCAGCAGTTGCAATGGAAATGCAGTGCTGAGCGGGGTCTCCTCCGCAGTGCCGGTATGAACCAGAGATCAGGCTACGGGCGCTATTCGGAGGGACCGGCACTAATCAAAGAAGCTCGAAGGCTTGGTGGTTCAGTCTGTGCCCGCCAATACTCCATCACTTCACCGGCCGTCAAAACTATTCAACCGGCACTCACGAGCGAGGGCCCGTGTCTCTGTGCACTTCTGCTGTACGAAGGGGAGGGAGGGCCCGCGTCTGTGTGTCGCTCCTTACACCTCGAACCTCATTATGCGCATGTATGCATTCGAACAAGCATGTTCGTTGTCTGCCTGCCACCAACACGCACTATATATTAATGACGTATCCTGAGTATGCGTAGCGCAATTGCGAAGCACTGGCGGCAGCTTTTCACGCAGCGCAGCAGCGCAGCGCCCACCCGCCCATGCATGACCAAGAAACCTCGCCGCGCCGCCGCCCCCCCCGTGGGTGGGTCCCTTTCGTGTATTTTCCTCATGAATACACGACGGTCAGATGTAGCTCGCCCAGCCCTCGCGGGGAGAAGGGGAAGTACATGGTCATGGGGGTGCTCTCTAGCGCTCTGGACCTAGCCAAGGCGGCCGTGGCGCACGACGAGCAGGGGGCTCTGCCGGAGAAGGTCCTTCCCTACTACAAGAAGGTGCGTCTGCTCTCTGATCTGGTACTTGTTTGTGGTTCCTTGTGTGTGGTTGTTAGCGCGCTGACCAATGAAAAGACACATGTATGTACAGCAGTCTCGATGAGGTTGAAAACGCTTCTAAAGGCCGCTGTGTGTGTTTTTGTTGTGCAGTCTGCCTGAACCTAGGAAGCCACCAGGCATGTATAATAGGTGTGTGTTGGTGTGCTTGTGGGATTGTGGGGAAGAACAGGAGCTTTAGTGAGCCGGCAGGGCCCTCATGATGAGGGAGGGACAGTACAGACAAGTACCAGTATGGTCCTTCAAGCCCCTGACTGATGATTTCCCTGATAATTATTTGTAGAATTACTGAAAATGGAGCAGTTGAGGCAGCTAGGCAACCGATCATTTCAAGGTCTACAAGGCTACCTGCCCTACCTGCCGCAACGTGACCACCCATCAACCGTTCTTTGACTCTGTCTGTGGCCACCACCCTGTCGCGGGCTGCCCGCATGGCCTAGAGGTGGAGATAGCTGTTGCGTCTACAGAAGTATATATGCATTCGCTTTGTCAATTGTCTGCACTTGCGTCTTTTTTTTTTTGTCAGTATGACCCAACGAATCCATCTCTATAGTAGAAAAGAGTTGTGAGGAGGAACAAACAAAATTGACATGGAAACGGAACCTAGGCCGAGAGGGGTTAAGATTTTGGTTCGACTGTGGTCATATCTCGAATGGGTAAATAGTCTTTCTGTGTTTGTATTTATGTTTCCTAACAGCAGTGGGGGGCCTTATTTAGCGACCCCTAGTGCCACGACGAAATGTGGCCGCTATTCAGAGCAGGGCGCTGAACCGAACTACCAATCATACAGAAGTGTAGCAGCTATACTACCGGGGTGCGACGGTGCGAATTGATTTTGTGATCGCTCAACACGGGGTGGCAAAAGCGGGCTCCCTGCTCCTTTAGTTGAGAACGTGAGCCTCGAAATTTTCAACATTCAAGAACTTTACCCCAGGAACAGCAGGTGTTCAGTCAAGAAGCTTACACTACCGGTATGACCTATATCGTCGCCGTGGCGGTACAGCAGTATCCCATAGACAAAACGAGAAACAAGCCTCAACCAAAGCCAGAGTTTTGTATGTTCGGGCCCTAACTGCGTAGAATACTAGTAACACGTATTATGTGGAAAAGAAGAAGAGTACTCGCGACACACGCGTACGTCGATTATGTACCGTTTGTGTTTTTTTCGCAACAACGGCAATTTTTTTACCTGTGTCTCGTTGTCACCCGTCGGGGGCACCATTGCCGCTCTTCCGTGGTACGGCTCTTTTAACTGTTCCTGTCGCGCCGCGACTTGAAAATACGGATGAGGCCCTCGCTCGCTGTCTTGGCATCATTCTTGCTCCTCAGTGACGCGGCTCTTTCTTTGTTCCTCTCGAAATGAGGTCCTCGCTGTTAGCACGTTGGTACAACAACAGCTTTTTGATGCTGGTTCCGTATAGGGGAAATCACATCGCGTGGTGCACACGCTGCTTGAAGTACCAAGCACCGCAAAGCGCGCTATGGCACTGCTGTTGTATTATCGTATGTCTGTACCAGGGAGTACTATAATATTCATCCTTTGGCAGAGGGACGTCATCGCTACTCTCGTCGGCCTGATGGCCAGCACGACCTTGCGACAGAAACCAACCCCACCTTGATCGGGACGGGTTCTTGTTTGTTGACAGCTGTGCGACAATATTATCACTCCGCGCTGACCCCGCCGCCGCTCCCTACCGCCGCATCTGTGTCTTCGCCTCATGCGCACTCTCACGCTTGGTTGTATCTATGAATTACGGCGCGGAACTTGGCGTCTCTGCGCTTGGATGCTTGGTTGTACGAACTTGCGGCGCGGAACGTGGAATCACGCCACCGAGTGATCGAAGGCGATACGAGCGATCGACACGGCTCTCAAGCTGCTGCCGGAGCACGTCGCCGAGTCCACCGGTATCAAGCGGCATCGGGACAACTACCAAGCGAGAGTCGACAAGCTGACGTGAGGATTGGAACGAAACGAGATAAAAGCGTCCGATGCGGTACATTGTAGTGGTCTAGGCATGTTTTTTTTCGAATTGTTGAAACATTCTGGATAAAGTGAGAATCGGCGGCTGAGTTAGGGCTAGGGTCCGTATACGATACCATACGCATTCGGATTTCGTTATTTCGTGGTTCTCTGGGGGCACGGTCAATACCGTGTACGGTTCACGATATAATGGTTGCTGCTACAGTGATACGAGTAAATGGTTGCTGCCACGAGTGGTGTGCTTGATCGTGTCTGAAAAGCTCGATTCGAAACGGGGGTCCACTATAGCGCTTCTGGCTCGTCGGTGTTTCCTTGACGCGTGTGGTGGTCTCCAGAGAACAAGACGCAGAAGAACCTGAACATGACGAGAGTTGTGGAAGTACACGTCTGACGCCGCCATCAGATAGAACTGAGACCGACCGGTTTTCCGCACGGAGTGACGGTTTTCGGACCCTCGAGCGCTTGGAGTGCTCACAAATGGCAGCACCGTCTCTGTGTTGGATGAGTTGTTTCTTGTGCACGGCAGAACATGGGGTACACGCTTGGATTGTGCATTTGGCGCGTCATAGTTTCTGTCTTTGAGTTGGACGCGCAGTTTCTTGTGCGGAGTAGAGATCGGGTGGTACGAATTCTCTCTCCTAAGGATGGGTGTGGCCCAAAGGAGAGCACGCGCGAGCTCTAAAAAGCCTTGCTTAGTGACGCTGCGCAAAAGACACGCAGCACGCCACACAGCCGCGGCAATTAAGCACCTTTGTGTTTTGTTCTTATCGCGGCTCGCAAGAGCAAGCGCTGTCCCCGTCTCGGCTTGTTGGTTGCTGCGGCAACGTTTCTCTCCGGCAACTCTAACAGACGTGCTCTCTTGTCGTTGCCATATTTTGCGTGGATGGGTGAAGAGAGTTGATTGGCATCAAGAGCGGAGGGGGGGACACCGTCGAGTCCGTTTATCAAGAAGCCTACCGGCTATTGTCTGACACCTCCCCCCTACATGTTCCCCTCTATGTATCCCCCCCCTCTCCGCGTGCCCCCGCAGGCAAGGGCTGACACGGGACAACCAGCACAAGGACCGAAGAGTACGGCAGCAGTCGAGAGTCCGCTTCTCGCAGGTGACACGAATAACGCGCAGGAAGCTGTTGGTCAGGCAGGGAGAGAAGGGCACGGGGGAGGGAAGGAAGACGCAACTATTTATTACGCGACCGACAATTTCACCCCTTGTCTGCCCCCTCCCACCCCCCAGTGGCGCTCGGGTGCTAAATAGGAGCCTCCGCACTTTTTGTGCGTTGCCCTGCGGCAGGTAGATACGCCGCCTATATTCGCACCCCTGCAACCACCTCTAGAATTTGGGAAGTGATCGATACGGTAGAGAGAGCTAGGGAAAACGTTTGAGCCACCTTTGGCAAAGTAGAAAGGAACGATTGGCCATCGGTGATCGGTCCCGTGGGATTACTGCTCCGTCCTCTCGAGGACGCGTGGTCAATGGTCTGACCGCTAAGGCATTGCAAAACATAAGAGTGCTCTCCCCCCACCGCCCGCACAAAACCCTTCAATAAATACTGTTCTGTTTTGCAGATGGATTTAGATGCGAACCAGTCGACCTTGGAAGCCGAACCGACACACCCGGCGAGGAGATCCTACTGGGTCTTGAGGCTAGTGCGAACCACCATTTTGTACGGGGGTCACCTGACGCCCAAGCTCTACGCGCCCAAGGAAGTGTGGACGCAGGTGGGATTCGGTTGCCGCCGCCCCCTGCTCCGTCCTCTCGAGGACGCGTGGTCCATGGTCTAGCCGCTAAGTCTTATGCAAAGAATGAGAGTACCCCCCCCCCTCCAAAGTTTATTTTTTGTAGACCTACGCTTTTGTGTTTCATGTGCTCCCGTTCATTGCGCCATTTATTCATGAACTCAATACTTTAATCAAACACAATGTAATTAGATGCACGTGCGTTTCTCTCATGCCTTGTGCACGCTTGTTGAAAGTCCTGCGTCTCTCGTCGATCTGTCTCTATATCCCGCTCGTACGCTTTGGATGGAGGGTTCGCGAAGATACCATCGTCGAGCATTGCGCGGAGTTAAGAAGATATACCATCGTTTTGCACCTTCGGGGCCACACAGCTTGACGTTTCGCTTCCCCTTGTTCGTGTTTATCCACGCGAGAACCTGTCATGACTTAATCGCAGCATGTGCGAGGCAGTCTTCTTTCGCAATAGTTAAAAGAAAAAACATGCCGGCTGTTCTCCGACGGCGTCTTGATCCTGCCCCGTACGCACACGCTCCCTCCCTGCGCGTTTTTTGCTGCTGCTGCTGCTGTTGTTCCTTGGTCGCTTTCTTGCCCTGTCCTTTCCTGGTTGCCGGCGGCGACAACTTGGTTGCCCCCCCCCCCCCCCCCCCCCAAAAAAAAATAAAAACAAAACAAACCCCCCCCCCCACCCAAAAAAAAAAACACAAAAACCCCAAA